TTCAGTATTTAGCGCTTAGGTACTTTGACATTTATTCCGTCATGCAATGCTGTACTGAAATTAATTTCATACAATTTTTTGGGGACAGATCGTTTCCTTACTATAAACGAAAAACTACTGAACATTTTGATTTTTTTTTTTTTCCCATTGTTCGGAAACAATTATTGTGGTAAAATATAAAAGACGGGGTCACGTCAGGGTAGTAGACACCAAACATGTCAAGCTTTAAAATCGTGCGCACCCGCGAAATCACATAAAATTTCGATGGGGAGAGGGGATGAGAAATAGAAGAGCGTAGAAGTAAGAAAAAATTAGAAAACCGGAAATACTAGTAAACCATGACTAAATATAATTAGCTTTGGATAATAATTTGAATAAATGATACCCAGAGATAACCAAACAAAGTAAATGTAAGCATGGTCTCCAGCACTGAAGATAGGGTAGAGAACGACCCCCGCACCGGGTCAAAAGGAACCAACCCCGGGGATCGCTCCACACCCCAATACAGTTATGCAAAGGAGTGACCATCGCATAACCTTGTGAGCTGATCTGTGCAGGACGAACCCAGAGGAGTCCGCTCGCACCCAAAAGCACACAAGGGTAAAGGCACTGCATGGGGAGTAATGTACATAAAGCAGATCTACCCAGGAGGGGCAATTGACCCAGAACGAAACAATGATTTCTCAATGGAACCCCAGACCAGAGTACACAGAACAGATAAATAATCCATCCATATAGAAAGTCTATAGTAAAGGGCGGAGCACCCCCCAGTCCAAACAGAGCAATAGCTATACCAACATTTTCCAGCAGTTAAAGCAGATACTCACGGAACCACAGAGAGCATCGGTAAGGCAAGTGATCAGTAAGGTCCGATGACAGGTAAAGCAATCATGGTTCGCGTTCAGCTGGAAGTGATGGGAAGGTTGGGACGTCCATCTTCTGCATGGCGCTTTCCTCTGCAGGCGAGGCAAAGGACCCGGGGGGAGGAGAAAGATCCACAGTCTTCCAGACCGGAACATCCATGGGGGGGACATCAAAAAACGTAGAGACCTGATAGTTGATCCGGTTGTTGGGAGTGTAAATGTAGCACCATTCCTCCGGACAACAAGGGAAGAAGGATAACCCCAGAAGTATGTACCACCAGCATCCCGGATTACAGCCAGTAGGGGGTGTAGAAGTCTCCTCATCAGAGTTATGTGTGACAGGTCTGGTAGCAGAGTGACAGACACCCCATCAAACACCACAGGGCATTTCTGCCAGACCTTAAGCATGAGCTCCTCTTTCAGGGTGTAAAAATGGACCCGGCAAAGGACATCCATAGACAAGGAACCATCCGGAAAGCTCCAAGAGTTTACACGGTGCACTCTATCCCACTCGTTGGGTGATAAAGCTGATCTGTCCAAAAGAGTTAAAGATGCTGATTTACCGTATCTCGGAGTTCAAACAGGAGTTGCCTCAGGAAAACCCCAAAGCTTGATATTATTTCCCCGACTCCTGTTTTCAAAATCATCCTGATGCAGAGTAAGGGCAGAGAGTTGGCGGTTATGTCGCTTATTCGGCTCTTCCAAACGTGTGCGCTTTTGAGACAGTCACGATCAGCAGTTAAAATCTTATCTTCTAGCAGGGAGACCAATTGCCTTGTCTCAGTGATTTCCTACTTCAGAGCTCCTACTATCCGAGTGACTAGAGCCTCCAGGTCTTTCTTCATGGGGAGAGACAACAAGATGTAGGCCATCTCCGCTGGGGACAGGGCGGGGCCGACTCAGCATCACCATGTGTGGCTGGAAAAGGGGAGGAGGAGGCACTGAGTATGGGAGAATTGGCTCTGTCACAAATCTCAAGAAGAGGCCGGGCTACCCGCTGACACATCCGGGGGTGGAGGAGAGACCCGGTCAGGGGAGTTTCGCACAGCCTAGGTTGCTGCTCTAGCCGTCGGCGCCATGTCATCCCCACACGTAGTTCGATCAGCCGGAGCGGTGCTTGCAGGCAGAAGCGCTGGAGAGTAGAGGGAGATGCACCACTACTCTCCCGCAGTGTTTTGCCATGTTTTGGGCGTGGAGGCAGCTGGGAGAAGCCGTAGATAACAGTTCCCAATGGCCCAGTAGGTGTAGAGCTCGGTGTGTAGGCTTCCTCATGCAGCCATCGCCAGACCACGCCTCCCCTGCCTTCTGACTGTTACCCAGCTACCCACGTCCCGTCCTCTTCCAGGCTACCACCCTCCTCCTATTCCTTGCAGATTTATTGGGATCAGATGTGTGTCAGCTTTCACCTGTTCTCATATCTGATTACTCACTTTTGTAAGTGGATATAGCAAGCAATGTTGTGTTGGAGATTTTTCTTTGTGTTCTAGGCTTTTTGAGGCAATACTGTCAGAAGCCAGATGCAGTTAGCAGGGCACTCTGTGAGGGGCAATAGCTCGTCCTTTAATTGATACTGACTAGCAAGCATTTTTTATATGACAACTTTTATTTTATCTAGGGCAGTGAACTTGTGTTGTCTCTGGCAGCCAGGCACTGTTATGCTTGAACCACCATTTTACAATTCCCCCCCCTTTCTGCTGGTGGCCAGGACTTGATGACACATTTGTGTGCGTGCCCATAAATGGTTTACAGCCACTTTCCTTCCGACAGTTTCTCTGTGTTTCCAGGTCCATTATGATGTCATTCTTCTCTGCAGAGCTGCATGTGAATGCTGGGATTTATGGTATCCACCTTCAAAAGGGTCTCATGTACTCCCCCTCCAGAACTTGGTAACTAGACATTCTCATGGAATAGGACAAATACAGTTTTAATATGATTGCATCATTAAACCAAGAGGTCTCTCTCATAGTGGGTTCTGTCCCTGGCATTTCTCAGAGGGCAGGTTTTTTTTTCTCTCTACTTTGGAAGATTGTAATGACAGATGTTAGTCTTTTGGCTTGTGGCGGATTTCTGGATGATGTTTTTTCAGAAATGTTGGTCTCAGGAGGAATCAAAGCTTCCAATCAACATACTGCAGTTATGATAATTAAATGTTTGTTACATCAATGTATCACCCTGGTCACTTATCTGGTCCAGATTAATTTAGACAATACCACAGCTATGACTTGCATACAGCATCAGAGGTTTGTCTTTGACAGTGCTTTAGCTTCCAGTCATCTCTGCTGTGCATATTCCAGGTTGCATTACTGGCAGTTAGAATTTCTCAGCAGACAATGCCTGGACCTGGGGGAATGGTCTACCCATCTAGAAGTGTTCTGGTACATATGTCTGCCTTGGGGAATGCAGGTTGTGGACTTGTTAGCTTCTCAGTTAAACAAAAAGATGTGTGGGTTTGTGCCTAGGATGTAGGACCTATTGGTGGATGCAGCAGATGCATTGGTAGCGCCATAAGATCTGTATACCCTGATTTCTGCTAAAGCTTTTGCCATGACTATTTAGAAGGCTCTAGGCCGAGCGCATACCTACCATTCTCATAGTTCATAGCCCTTTAGCACCTTTTAAAGGTCAGGTGTCTGCGCTGTATACATGTTCTTTTACAAAGTCCTCTTGCTAATCATTTGCTGATTATATACCTGTATACAAGGGGCTACACACATTGGTTCACCTGTTAAGCCTTAAATCTAGACATGGGATTTAAATCTAGTTTTGTCTGTGTTACAAAAACCTAATTTTTAACCTATTTGTAACATATATCCTTGATGTTTCTGTATCGTAAGATATAGCCTTTTGGCCATCACTTTGACCAGAAGGGTTTCTGAGTTACCAGTGTTGTCCTGTAAAGAGCTCCATTTTTTCTTGCTTAAGAACAAGGCTGGTGTTCCAGCCGGTGTTCTTGAATATGCAAGTCTTTATAAGATAGGAGTGTCTGCCTCGGGTGCTAGTTTTGGCTGAAAGGTTCGGCAAGTGACTTTAAATGCTCTTGGTTTTCCTTTTACCTTGGGATTTCTCTTGTTGGGTTTGTTCACTTTTGTCCATTTTGCTGTCTGCCCCTCTTTTTGTACTGCTGTTGGATGTCCCTAGGTTGCTTAAAAGTAAAGCCAATTTGTTTTTTTTCATGCTTTACTTTTATTTTTGATCACAGGAGTGCATTTTACCTGCTTCATTGGCAGGCTTCCCCCTGCCCCCCCCTCCCCGCCTGTCCCTTCATTGAGCTCACTGCTCCTCTGCAGGGACCATGGGATGAGTGATCAGCGGTTACTTTAACACTCGGCTCTCGGCAGCTAGCTTGGGTCAGCTGCACGCCGGCTCAAAGTATTGAGAAGGGTATATTTTATTTTCCAAATACTTCTCCTTTAATCTTCAACCTGTGTCACTCAACAGATGATGGGAAAAAAATTGCATTTTTGTACTTGCTGTAAATTCCTTTTTCTCTAAATCAATTGAAGGACACGGCTTTCCCCTCCTCGTATGCTTTCCTTTTCTCTTGGACTGTTTGAGCAAGGTAGGTGGCTCTATGGCTGTTTAACCCCAGGTTGCATAAAGACCCCCCTCCCCCTTTTTTTTCACCTATCTCATCTTACCTATTATGCTGGGCTTTCACCAGAAAATAGTCATCTGCTGTTTAGCAGGAATATCCTAGGGAGCTGTGAGAGCCCAGGCTAGGTAAGATTTGTACCAGAGCCGACCAAAAAAATAACACCCCCACTTTGACCCCCACCCCCCACAGTTTTATATTGTGAAGCCACAAGGGATTGCAGGGAGTTAAAGTGGACCTGGGCACTGAAGGTCTGATTTAATTTTCAAGTTGTGTCGTTCAATGGACTCTAGGAAAATGATTTTTTGGCTTGTGCAAAAGCCCTATTTTACTGCTTATTAAGAATATGTGAATATGTCAATGCCCATAGCCTGATCACTGTTCTCCTAACTGTACCCACCTAGTCAGAATTAAGGATTTGAAGTCCTAGATTTTGGTAAATTTTGCTTATGGTTTATGGTAGTAACTACATTTAGGAAAAAAAAAAAAAATCTTAAGTGTTTGTGGTAAATAACTTTTTTTTTTTTTCCCCCCTGCTGTTCTAGGTTTGATCGTCACAAGTTACATAATCTGGTGACAGAGCGGTGCTACCCTGTAAGTAAACGTAAAGTGGAACTTTTAAAACCTTCTTGCTACAGTAGGACAACAATGAGATGTAAACAAGCTTTTATTAACTTAGTGTGTCTAAATAAAGGGGGAAAAAATCCAATATGTTACAACTTAGTTATTAGACAAAGTAATTGTATTCAGTTTATTTTTCGCAGTCTTTTTTTTTTTTTTTTTTTTTCAAGTAACACACTTCTCCCCCAGTCATCTTCCAGGTTAGCATGTGGAGGTACCTCCCAAACAGGAAACACGTCACCAGCAAGAACTTAAAAAGACGGCCTATACCGAACTCCCCTCAGTTTGTGTGTCCTCTTTTCGCAGGAGACGCGTTACCTATATGGAACGTTTGAGGGAGAGACTCGCATGCTGTGCTGGATCCGTCCTGTTTAAAGCTTTCGCCTATCTATGGCTACTGGCTACCTTCCTTGGCGCTAGTGGGAGGTGTCCAGGTTCCCCCTGTTTCCTGTGCCTGGGGAGGGCCTCGACCGGTAGAGCATGCTTCTCCCCTGGTGGCTAGCTCATGTGCTCCTGGGGCTTCAGGACGCTGTGCGTGGCCTGACCGGAAGACTGAGTGCGTCATTTCCGGTAGGGAAAAACGTCACTTCCTGGTGCAATACATTCCAATCCTCGTTATTGGGGAAGGGGAGGTTCTGGCTGGTACTTTAAGGGCATTTCCTCCTGGCAGAGGCAGTGAGGACTCCAAACTGGGAGCAACAAGCTGCAATGGACTCCATAGACTTTTCTTCTTGACGCTCCGACCTGCTTGTCTCACTAGGGGCCTCTTGGTGGTGGGCTTCAAGTGTAGCGTGACACTAGCAGGGGCGGATCCAGAGTCTATTCTCGGGAGGGGCACTGCCAGAAAATAAAGTTTTGCTTACAGAACGGTTAATATTTAGCGTATCGTACAGTCCTAACCTTGTTTAAAACAATGACACATTTATCATTCCAGATTACAGATTTTTACATGACAGAGACAGAATATGTTTAACCACAAATAACTTTATTATCACAAAGATCATAAGCAGCTTGTATACTTATAACAGAAGTACTATTAGCATAGAGAGGAAGCCAGCTGCGCATTTTGCATAGCTCCCGCCACTGGCGGAACTACCAGGGTTGCAGCGGTCGCAATTGCGACCGGGCCCTGGCGTTCCGCCACTTGGGGGGGCCCAGCGAGGAAGAAGAGGGCCCCCCGAGAGAGTGCCGATTCTTGCCTGGCCGCGTCCTCAGAGCGGTGTTTGGCTCCGCCCACTCCTTCGGCGTGACTCAGTTCCGCCGCAGCCATCCCCATAAAGCCGGGAGACTTGAAATGCTCAGTTAGTGTCTTAGTATATCTAAAGCGCTGAGCATTTCCCGGCTGGCTACCCTCTCACTGCTACTCTGTCCTGTACCTCGGCTTTTACCCTACTCGACGAGGCAGTCTGCCTGTTATATCTGCAGCCTGTCAGATCCCCTGTCTGGAGACAGACGATCTCCAGTACTCTACCTCGATCTACATGCTAAGCTGGGTGAAAGGGAAACAGCCGGACCCTGTTGCAGGATATCGCAGCCCAGTTCTCGGCACTCTGGACTCGCTTTCTCAAAGGCACAGTACACCAGAACAACCACTCAACTACCAGCTGCCATCCGGAGGAGCAATCCTTACAGGGAGAGCAACTAATAGCAAGTATCATCTCCTTATATTGCTATAATTGGAAACAGCATGTATGGGCAGCTGTGCCGCAGGGATGGAGAGGCTGTCACCAGCAGAATGTGCTGCAGGCACAGCTGGGCAGAACAATCTGCTGTGTGAGGACCATCTCCTCTTAGCCCTGGCCGCGGAGACGAGGAAGAGGGCCCTGCTGGAGAAGGAAGGTAAGTAACCAATATACCAATACTAGGCATTTTCACGAGTACTCACACTTATTCTATCAAACCCCGACGTAGTCTAATTTGCTGACCTCAGCGTCTGTGCTTGCGCACAGACCTGTATTATCGAGGAAACCGGGATTTATTTACAAAGTATTTTGTTTAACCCTTTCGCTGCCAAGCCCTCGAACATTTTTCAAATCAGCTGGCCAAGCCCTTTTTGAATTTTCTGCAATTTTTTCCTATTGGTTTGATTTTCAACTGCTGCGTTGCTAGAAATATTAAACCGATAAAAATACACCATTCAATTGTTAAAACACACCGAAATCAGTATCCGTGCACAAAAATATATATTTTCTGACTAAATCTAAAAGATAAAACTGTATTGAGTTAATAAATAACAAATATTAGCAAATTTGTAATTGCGCCATTTTGCGAATAGGTAAAAAAATTAAGGTATGCAAAACTAAATCGACTTATGTAAAAAAATTCGACGTACGTACGGCTGATTTCAATCGGTGTACGGCTGAAATCAGCTGTACAAGCCTGAAGTGAATAGCCGAATGGCGTTCGGCTCACTTCACTTCGGGTTGGTTATTCACACGGCTGCCTTAGGCAGCTTTGTGAATAACCCCCTATGTGTCCCCAGTTATTTACAAACACTGGAGTGATCACACGATCACTCTGGTGTTTGTGCTGCACAGAGGATCGGTAAATATCAAT